CCAGCACTATGTTCAGTGGGCACTGCTCGAGTCGCCGTTCAAGCAGCGTCAGGCCGTGGTCTTTCCAAGCTACATTCTCTACGACCAGACGTCATTGTCGCTCTTGTACGACGTGGACGCGGCGCGGCTTCCGTCTAAAAAGTCGTTCATTTCGTTTGGAAGCAACTCCAAGGGCAGCAATCTCTCGGCGTCCGACAGCCTCGAGACCGACGTGATCCATGCCTCGCTGCAGTCCCTCGCCAAAGAAGCCGTGGTAGCGTACTTTCGATATGGATGCAGGTCACGCATGATGACTGTACTAGCTGGACGAGGCCGCCGGGCGATTGCCGTACATGGTCTCGGGGACAAGCGACGTCAACATTCGCTTGGACAAGACCAAGTCCCTCCGCACCTCGAGCTCGCTCGTCCGCCTCGACGCCATTAGCGACTCGGTGCAGAATTGCCACCGGCTCTTTAGCGACCTCACGCGCGAGTGGCATGACATTGGCGCGCTCTCGCGGGACGCCGACCACCGCACCAAGATCATCACGTTCGTGCCGCGCTACATGGTGCTCAACAAGACGCCGTACGCACTCTTGCTCTGCCCGTCGACGCTCTTGAAGGAGAAAGACCTCACGCGGCTCCCGACGCTCGATGCTTCGTCGACGCCGCCGCCCAACCTCGTCGGGAGTCGGCAGTACGAACCAAAGCGGGACAGCTTCTCGACGTTCCATTGGTCGACGATGAGCGACCCGACCGACCCGTGCGTCCGCGTTCGCCCGGCCGATGTACTTGCATGCGTTGAGTTGGTCGTCTCTTATCAATTGTCGGGTGTAGGCGTCGGGCTGGAAGTGGTCCGGCAAGTTCTCGCTTCACGACGTGGGGGAGACGGCGCTCAACGCGGTGAACCGGGTCACGGGCGAGATCCACATCGTGCGCGTCCAGATCCGCGTCTACCGGGGCACGCAAATCTACGTGGTTTTCTCCCACGAGTCGAGTGCGCCCTTGTACCGCATCGTCAACCTCTCGGACGACGTCGTCCACTTCCACCAGCACGTCCTTCTGGAGGCCAACGTGACGGCAAAACCCACGATGCGCCGCCTCTTGCCCAAAGACGACCTCTGTTTCGGGTGGGACGAGCCGTACTTTGTCGACGAACGCACCTTGGCGCTGAGCTTTCCCAACGCCGTGAGCTGCCAAGTCCACGTCGATCGCATCGCGGACGATGTGCAGCACGTCGAGCTGAACGGCGCCAAGGTCTTTCTTCAAGTCGTGCTGGACGGTCTCACCAAAGTGCTCTACATCCAAGCCAATGCGCCGTCCCCACGCGACGAGCTCTTGCGGAATAAGAAGCCGCCGCTGCTTCGCCACGCACGCTACATTGTCGACTGCGTCCTCCCGCACACCGTTTTGTCGCTCATTGACGGCGCGCCTGCCGAGCTACTCGTGCTCACCGTCACCAACGTCATGGTCATTGGCGGTCTCACGCCCGACGACAACGAAGTCGAGCTCACGATCGAGCGCGTCCAGATCGACAACCAGACGCCCAACGCCATGTTCCCAGTCGTCTTTGCTCCGTCGTCATCCCCGAGCCCGTACCCCTTGAGTTTTGCTCTGCTTCGATCTCACGGGCTTTGTGGTTCTGTAGCACGACCGACGACGAGGGCAAGACGGAGCCCGCACCGTTTGTGCATCTCTCGCTCATTCGGCTTTTTTACAGCGCGGACATTGAGTTTTTCAAGGTATTACTCGATTGCTGCCGGTTGAAACAAGATGGCATGGCGTCGACCTAGTACTTTTCAGCGCTCATGCAGCCCGCGACGCTCCAGCTCGATGCGTCCATCTTGCTCTCGATCGCGCAGCTCGTGGGCGACGGCGTCAACGTCGTGCAGAGCTATTTCCCGCACTGGTTTGTCACCGACCACACGCTCGCGTTCGTCGAGAAGCTCCACGCCAAGAGCGAGCCGCGCGTCTACTTCGAAACGCTGCAGCTGCACCCGCTCAAGCTCTGCGTCACGTTCACCCAGAGCACCCTGTCCCGCCAAGTCGGTGTCGATCGCTGTACCTATTCCTGCTCAAAAGATACATGTGGCTAGGCCAAGGAGACCGTCATGGCCGTCGTTCCGCTCATGTTTCGCGTGCTCCAGACCAACTTGGCCAACATCGACAATGCATCGCTGCATCTCAACGCGCTCGTGCGTCGTCGATCTGCCTCCGATGC